CATTGCTATTCTCGAGTATAATGTGAATCTATTTAATATATATATATATATATAAGAAAAGGAATATTGATGTTTACGTTTGATTTGTTAACTAATAGGTTCCAAATAAATAATTATATTGAGAGCGACAAATTTAGCTCTCTATGTTTTTTTCCTCACACAAGAAAGACATATAAGATAATTGACCTAAATCTCCACATCAACAATATCTAAAATAAAGTCAAGTTGCCTTTTTCTTTTTATTTTGACAAAAAAAAATCACTTATTCTAACAAAACATCAATTTTATATATATAGAGATGAGTTTTTTTAATCCTTAAAGACAAGGTATTTTTGATAATAATTTTTTTTAATTTAATTATTTTTAATAAAGGGAAAAAAATTTAAGATAAAATTATGCTCAACGGAACCTCCTTATATTTATTGGAAAAAAACATTATTACACCCCATGTTAAAAATAAATTATTACACATCATGTTTTTTTTATAATTACAAGAAACGTAACAAATAAAATAACCCGAAAAAACTAATTATCCAAATTTAGAGATTTTGGATAACATCTTTTTGTTTAAATCCATTTCATCTAGCAATAACATTGAAATAACTTTTCAATACATCTTCCTCTTCAGGTCAAACTCTTTTTTGATTTTAAATTTTATTTTTATTGTGAAAATATTTAATTCTTAGAGTTTATGTTTTGATGAAATATAAAGATAGAGATCAAATTACATGTTATTTTTTTTATTATTAAAATAATATTATTTTTTTATTATTAATTGTTCATAAATAGAATAAGAATATAATCAAAAGACAATTATATATAAAAGGCAAGTAATGTTCTAATTATATAAAATTGAAATTAATTTATAAATCATTTAATATTATTATAATTAAGAAATATATTTTTTAGTGAAAATCAAGCAATACAAGGTCAATTCCTATTTACAATTTGGATAATTATTTTTAATATTTATAGTAACAAATTATTTTTAATAAAAGTCATTCGATAAATTTTTACATATATATTTAAAAATTAGATAAATTTTATTAATATTAATAAGAAATTTTATTTAAAATAATTATTTAAAAATGTAATGAACAAATATGATTATTTTCACCAATCAAAAAATTTTTCAAAATCCATAATTGTATATATGTTATAAGTTATTGGTTATAGATTCTATATTATAAATAACATAAGTCACTACCTAATTCTTTTTTTGAAAAAAAAAAAGCAAAATAGCAAGTGCAAGTACGTTTAATAATAAATAATAAAAGATGGTATGACATATTAACAAGTTATAATAAATGATGACATAATATGTGTAACATTCCGTCCCTTCGAATGTTAATTAAATTAGAACAATATTAGAAATTTGAGAAGAATTGTGATCATTGATGATATCTAAAAGCATAGGAGATTGAAGGAGAATGTGCAAAACAAAAATAATGTTTTAATAATAAAATAATGATAGAAGTTGAATAAATAAATAAAACATTAAAAAGTAATTTTAAAAATGTAAATTCGGTCAAAGTGAGGGAGTGAGATATTTATGGATTGAAGAATTTTTATCATAGAAAAATTTACATGTGTGAAATGTAATACATGTATTATATAATGACTAGTGTGGTAAGTAATTAAAATTGAAGAACTAAGGAAACAATGCCACATGAAGGTAACATGACCGGGACCGGCCACTTTATGGCCTTATAATGCATGCAAGGACAACAATTGCATGTAATCATTGTTGCATGCAGGTGGGGGAAGCATGTGGCCCCATGTAAAAATTAATTAATTAAATTAGATTTCAAAATCAGATTGGGAGGCCTTTTTGATTGGAGAATTCGCCATGCATGGAAAGCAAGAAGGGTGTTAAACTTAGGAGACTCCGCCCATTATAGCTCTTGGAATCTGTCATTCTTCCTTGCTTGAAACCCGACCATTCCCAAACAAATTTTCAAGAATTCTGAACTCCGAATATTACCATGTAGGTGGGGAAGAGGCTAAAACAAAAAAAAAAATTGATAAAGAAGGGAAAAGAGTTAAGTGTCTCCCCCATTTTGAAGTTCAAGTTAATGTAACTTTGGTTTTCCCAGCCGAGCTTATCAAACCATCTTTGAAGGATTATAGGCTCCACAATGGAATCTTGGGGTTGGGAAATTTGGTAAAGAGGTAAGAAATTATAAGTTTTAGACATTAGACTGAAAATTAATCAGTAAAAAGATTTCAAATTGTTTGCGGAAGCCATTGGTGCCTCGGGTTGAAAGCTTGCTGGAGATTGTGGTTAAGGTGGGGTTAAGCCATAAAGGTAAGAGGCTTGGGCTTTATTTATTAAATATTTACTATATTTTGCTGCTAGTTGGAAAAGAATTTTTAGACGAGTTTGAGATTAACGGATTGTAATATAATAATTATTGTAGGGAAACTGGGAAAGAAAAAGATGAGCTTGCTGGAAATTTGAATTTAATGTCTTGAATTAGAGGTCTAGGGTGGAGTTATTGGGTTCTTGGATGTAAGGAAAATGAATATAGTTAAGTGGTGTGTAATTTCAATGTTCAAATGCTAGTTAAAAGCTAGCAAGAAATGGTTGCTTATTGATTGATAAATGAGCTGGTAGTTGCCTTAGGTGGTGATTTTTGAATTTGGTTTTAAATGTTGGGATTAAATGCGGTTTAAATAATGGTTTGGTTTGCTGTAAGTATGACATAAATATTGGATTTGATGCTAGCTAGGTAAGGCAATGATGAGTTTAATTCTAGTTGATTGCTTAGTTTAACCATGGAGTTTGATTAATTGAATTAATATGTTTTGATTTAAAGGAGTAATGAAGGAAAGTGTTGTAAAAAAAAAATTCTACTAGCATCATGGTCGAATATCAAGGACAAGTTGGTAGAAATTTGAAGAAAATAAATTGAAATTGGAGTTCGGTTGCTATAATGCTTACTGTACAAACTATGTAATAGTTTAGTACTAAGCCTAGTATTGAGAAATGTCCTTGTGCATGCCACTAGTGAACAATTGAGTTGGAACCTCGGTTGTTGGAAGAAATCAACAAGGCCTGGGTGATGATAATGGATTGAATTATGCTACGTCTCTTGACAGAAATAGAACAAGCTTAAGCTATGGAAAGTTGGTATAATTTGTGAGAATCCCCACCAAAGAAGTGAGTAGGCAATTCCTTTTTGAAGTATTTATTGAATGGTGAATATGGTATATTTCATATGCTAGATGTGCCCATTGTTTAGATATTATTCAATTACATTGAGTTTCGATGTTTATATTTGGATTGCAATTGGGTTGCATGAGCTGTTAGTGATCAGGAATGATTATTAAGCTCGTTTTATACTTGTTGTTTTTGTGGGTGTATCAAAACTATTAAGTTGTTTACAAAATGGAAAACAAGCCTTTGAAACATGATGAGATTTTATACTCTATTTTGAAGAATTCAAAATTGTGTGTATTACACTTCCATATAAAGGCCCTAGAGTGGTCATTAATGAGTTTTCTAATCTATTTTGGTGGCAATTTTCATGATGCTTAAGTAAAATATTTTAACTTTGCCATGCTCATTGATTTTCGTAAGTGAAATTGCTATTTAATGTTCACTGATTTTATGATGAACTTGTTTATATATCGCTTACGGCATTCATGATTTAAACATGCATACGTGCCTTTTGAGCTTATGATTGAATTGATTATATGCAATTGAAATTCCATTGGTTTATTTTTTTGAGTAAACCTTACGGGTATAGGTCCTGTTACTACACCAAATTTGCATAGTCTTTGTGCACAAAGCAGTGATTATTGATAATTGATAATAAAGGGGGACTTGGAGCCTCGACTCATATTCGGTGGCATAGGGAGTTCCCACAAGTAGATAAAGGGGGACCTGCAACTTCAACTCATATTCAATGGCATGGGGAGTTCCCACGAGTAGGTAAAGGGGGACTTGAAGTCGTGACTTATATTTGGTGGCGTAAAAAGTTCCCATGAGTAAGTGTTAATGTTATTAATATCAGAGAGAAAGACTACAGGTTATATTATACCTACCCAAGGATACCCTATTCGATACGTTTTTATTAATTGAGCATGGCATTACTATTATATTTATTTGAGATAACCGTAGCTTTCATATATCAGTATACATGACATTCGGGAAATTAAATTGTTTATAATTGCCATGGTTAATCGATTTTATCAAGCATGAGATTTTTATGCTGAAAAAGTAATTAAAATTTTTGAGATTTAAATTTAAGCATCATATATTGATTTGCACATAATCTATTAACTCAATGCATAATTTATCTTGTCATACATAAATATTATTATGCTTTTGTTAAAAGCTCTACCTTAATGCTTGTTTCCTTTCCTGTCTACTCACTGAGTATGAAAGGCTCACCCCAACTAATAAATATGGCAAATAAGTAAAGTTTGGGGAGCAATCGTGGTGAGAGGACTTCAGCTCACTACGTAGATAATTGGTGTCTCATAGCCCTACCCTTATGTCACTCTATTCACTAGATGTCGAGTTGTCTATTGTTTAAAAAGAGATGTTGTATTTTAAAACTATTTTGGGTTGAGGCCTTAGATATTGTTTAAATAAATTTAAAGTTTTGTTTTATAAAACGTGTTGTGTAAATACTTGGAATTTACTTTTATGAAATCCTATGGTGATGAAGTATTACAAATCGTTACA